GGCTGGATCGGAGTCATAGCAGTAAACATACTGCGCATGTGCTGTACAAAGCTCCATTCCACTGTAGCAGACATTCACTCGAGGCCACAGTCGCACGCGCATGGGCTATCCACCAGCAGCATCTTTTAGATGCCCGGAGACGTAATCTGCACTGGGGCATGTACACCCTGTTTCTCGACCCTCTCACCTTGCGCGATTCGCTGCTACAGTGCGGTCAGGTGCCATAAACCGTATGGCTGAAACCTGCGGGCAAAGCCGCACCAGCTGACGGAGTGGTACTGGGGGCAAAATTTTTCTTTATCGCTGTATACCCTTTTCAACCGCTTTGAAACGCTTGGTTAATGTTCTTTACCATGCAGCATCCTAGCTAACCGCTTTCTTGTGAATGTGCTTGTACCGTCGGTGATAAGACCATTTCAAACGTGGTGACGTTCTACAACCTGTGCATGTTCTGCAACCAGATGCTCTGCTAGCGCGAAACAGGGTGTACTCAGCTGACCATTCACAACGACACCACACCACCGCACTTGTCCATCCACCGAGCCAGCGCGGCCTGTGCACAGTAACTGAAGTGAGCTATTTCGAGCAGCATTGAGTCCGCGGCGGCCGCGGGCTCGTCAATTTCTGAGGCAGCATGAGCCCGCGCCCCTGCTGCTCAATTTCGTTCTATGAAGCTTCCTAGAAGAGACAAATACTGTGACGTTGCAAAGCAGCCAATTTCCGCCGCACTTGGAAGTCATGACGGTCCAAGGATCAGGTTTGTGCACTCCAATGTGAAGCGGACACGTCTGTAACAGCCTCTTGTCGTTGATTGACTGGAGGGCAGCCTGTGAAGAAGCTGGAATCAATGTTTCATCCGATTGTTTCTGACTCGACACATTTTCATTCTATGTTTCCTTCAATCCAGTTGTTCTGGCTCAACACATTTTCTATTTTGACCCTGGAGTTCCACTAGCATCACACGCAATTTCGGAATATTCTACCTGCTCCACTACAAAACATATGCAAAACTCCTAATGTTGTGGAAAACACAAAGACAGGCTTCATGTACAGTACACAGTGCTCGCCGACCCAGTTTCCGCGTGGCGAGGACTGTGTGCACACTACTGTGGGGTATGCTGACTACAGTTTCGTGGACCGGTTGCGAAACGACGACAGTCGGATCACACCACATGACATGTGACAATATCTTTTCGCCGCCATTGTCTAGTTTAGATTTTCATTTAACCATACAGTCACACAAGAACTGTATCGTAACGTCGCTGAAATTGATATTTCTAATTATTTTCTCCCTGTCGTTGTCACCATTTTCAAAATGTTACAGCACATACATGGGATATTATCTTTGCGAAAGTGCCTTTAGATTACATTGTGAGTGCGTGAATGCTTTTTGTCACTCTTAGTATTCATTCTAGACGGTGTTTGTAAATAGTTGTGGTATTTTCTGCTGTGCTACAAGCATGCCGTGGTTCCGTTGGGATGCGAGCGGTTGCATTGTTTGGTGGTTTGTTTGTACACCCTGTTTCTCGACCCTCTCACCTTGCGCGATTCGCTGCTACAGTGCGGTCAGGTGCCATAAACCGTATGGCTGAAACCTGCGGGCAAAGCCGCACCAGCTGACGGAGTGGTACTGGGGGCAAAATTTTTCTTTATCGCTGTATACCCTTTTCAACCGCTTTGAAACGCTTGTTTAATGTTCTTTACCATGCAGCATCCTAGCTAACCGCTTTCTTGTGAATGTGCTTGTACCGTCGGTGATAAGACCATTTCAAACGTGGTGACGTTCTACAACCAGTGCATGTTCTGCAACCAGATGCTCTGCTAGCGCGAAACAGGGTGTACTTTACAGAAAAGGTTGACGGAGCGCGTCGGTTCGGCTTGTCGTCGTGAGAACGCTGCTGTCGTATTGTCAGTCCGTATTTGAGGATTCTGTTTGTTTCAAAGGTTTGATTCCATGTTACACTAAGAAATTTGAGGGCGTGGTGGAGTACCAAACCACTTGTAGTGACAACTCCTCGAAGTCGACAGCAAGTTCTAATGACAGCCTCGCACTAATGACCGGGTATTTTTTCCAGCTTCGATCCCCCAAGCATCAACTTGCCGTACATGGAAATGGTCCCACGAAAATAGGCATGCACGTGGTTGTTCCCGAAGGCAAGAAACATTGTTATTCTCTACAGTGAGGAGCCCATGAAACTTTTTTCTCGTTCTCAGTCGAAAGGAGTTCAGGAAAGCTTTTGTACTACAGCACGTCTTCGTCTGGAGGTTGACCCCTTGCATCTTCCATTCCATCCGTCGTCACTGAGCACTGTTCCAACGAACAGCCCACCCCAAATGGTTCTTGTCCCCATAAATCACACACGCATTGTAGTTTCCATAATTTCACTAACTCATTCGGAGACCTGCTTTACACCTCACAAACAAGTCTTCCACAGATTTCACAAAGCAGCAAAGATACATCCACAATGCGACCTCACTCTCTCAATGACTTGCAACACGAGACGGACGTCTCAGCACCTGCGGCCGCAGCACTCTCAGCGAGCGCCGTGCATCATCCACGGAGCGAAGACTCGCCTACTACAGAACCCAGCATTCGAGAGCTCTTGGAAAAGCTGAAGCAGTGGCGGCAAATTCGACGCGTCGAGCAGACCTGGTCTCAAAACGAGGACTCAGCGGCAATGGACGCGCCATTTCCGCCGGAAGCTCACACGTCGAGTCCTCCTAAGAGGAAGGTCCCCGAAATGGAAGCTGGGACGCAAGTTGACACGATGATGTTTGAAGAGGACCGGCCGGCGCGGCACAAGGAGCCGCGATGGGGGCCGCCAGCGACGCATCCTCGCGACGACCAAGATGCGAGCCCGAGTCGGAGGTACTTTTCGTTTGAAAATGGAATCGTCTTACCTGGTTCCGAACGAGGAGACTGGAACACTCGCCAGCAGCCGCCCGACGAGGTTTGGCTCCTTTCCACGTTGGCGCACGCTCAGGACGCGGCGCAAGGGGCGCCATACGGGCAAGGGGCGCCACACGCGCAAGAAGCGCCAAACTCGCGATGGGTCGCGGAAGAACCTCAAGGAGCGCCGCATGACGGAAGTAGCGGGGGAAGCGCGGGCGTCATGCTCTTCGGATGCAACATTTCGATTTCGCCGCCCGCAAGCACCGCCTTTCAAAATCCGTGCGGCACGGCGGAACAGACGGGATCCCTCGACAGCCTGGAACGACGGCGCGCTGGCAGAGCAGCTTCATATTCCCCCCACGAGACCGCCATTTCGTCAAACCCTGCTTTGGGGCGCAGCGCCTCTGCAAGAATATCGATGCCTGCTGGCGGCATGTCAATCGACGACCGCGCTTATGACGACGCCACGAATGCCTCTCAGCTCCTCACTTCGAACTCCTTCCCCACCGCTCGAATTCGCTCGCAACACAATGCGGCCTACTACACACTAGCCACGGACTCGACACAGGCGCAGCCGGGCGCTACAATCGCTTCTGCCAGCGCATCGGCAAACCTTGGAATTGCCGACGGGATGTCTTCGCATCCGTGGGGCGTCGCCGCAGCGAATCGCACATCGGCGGAAACAAACCCTGCGGACCTGGCCTTTGCGCGACGCCTGCTTGAGACACACGTACGGGACGACGATGCTACGTTGCGAAGCGCGACAGACCCCTCAAGACCTAATCATACACGCGAGACGTTTCAAGAGGCCGCGTCGCGCTCAACGACGGAATTCCGCGAAGACTTTACGGGCCGCGGCTGGAGCGGCGGAGCGCTCGACGATGCCGTCCGTCGCGGCGCAGCGGAGAAATCCCCGCCCGCCGAGCGGCTCCGCTTGGTCGTGCAAGCGCTCCAGGAGGACCCGCCGCCGTTAAACCCAGAATCTAGCGAAGGAGCAGCCAATGCAGCAGCAGGAAGCAGTGGCTTTACGTTCGGCGGATGGCCCTATACCCCTGCCGCTCTTCAAGCCCTGCTTGCTCTGCACGCCGCCAACGCCGCGGCACCGCGCGCTGCGGCTACCGCGCCGCCGGGGGTCTGGGCGTCTGCGGAGGTAGCACTACCACGCCACCCGCACGGTGCAACGAGCGTCGCCGCGCAAGGGGGACTGACCCTAAACCCCGCGAGTGCCAGGCTCGACCCGCCGGCGGACGTTCCCCTTGTGGTAGAAAACGTCCGCAGGGTCGTTGCGCGGACAGCTGCGGGGGAAGCAGCGCCGATGGGGTCCAGTCCCACGCGGCGAAAAGCAGGGAATGAGGGCGGTGTTGCTAGTGCTACGGGGGACGGATCGACAAGTGCGCCGGGTGGGGCGCTCTTAGCTGATTTGGGCGACGGGGTGAGGAAAGCTGTATCACCGCGGCGACGGTTTCGCTGTACGGTGTGCGACCGTCGGTTCTCGTCAGGACAGGCGCTGGGGGGGCATTCGCGTATGCACGCAATGCAACAGCGCGCGGAGGAGGAGATGGGTCGGTGAGTGGCGGATGCGGTTCTGGGGTGGCAGAGAAGGTGGAACGGAGGAGACTACGTTGCGAAACGCTTTAGATTGCTATTATTACAAACGATCCCCATTCCCACTCTCACGTAGCTATCGTACATCCCCCCTACGCAAGAGGTGGGTGGGTCACGTCTGATTACGGAATACTGAACCCTTACAGAGCACAGCGGCAGAGCAAGAAATCGTAGACAGGGGTCTGCGGGAGCCCGCTTTGAAATATATTATGCAAAGTAATGGTCGAAAGGAGGTTAGCGATTCGAGAGCTAGGGTTTCATCACGGAGCCATGGGCATTTGGAGTTGCCTGCTGGGTCGCTGAGAGGACCTGCATCACTGGCCCACAACAATAGTGTGTCTTGCTTTGCTTCGCACAATCAGAGCTGCGCCATTTCCCAGCCGAGTCTCTTGCGACGGTTATTTCACAAGTACTGTAGAGCTTGGCTATTTTGCTTCCACTATTATTGTTTGGACAAAGCTTGTTTTGATATATCTACATATATACGTTTCTTAGAATATGCTTATGTGCACATTGCATTACAGGACAGATCGACAGTCTTGAACCCCCTGCAAGTGGAAGAGGGCAGAGAACACGCAAAACGAGATGTCAGGAGCTTGCCCAACTTATGGTCCTCCAACCAATTACCAAACATAATAACCGCGAAAGCAAATGCAGAAGGCTCAAACGTTTCGAATCTTGCAACCCTACACATTGCCTCCCCTTTCCTCCCCTCTCATCCTCCCGCTTTTCCTCTCTCTATATCCCCTCCCTTACCCATAAGACCACCCCCCACACATCCCCTCTCCCCTTACCACCCCATGGCCATACTTATTGGAGCCGTGAGAGCCGATAGCAGCGTTGCCCGAGGCAGAGAAGGCCCAGATGAGGCGGTTGGATCCGAGGTAGGTCACGGGGGCTATTCCTGCTGACCCGCTTCTGGTGAACCTGCCAGTGCATAGGGACAGAGAAGTGTTCTTGAGTGAACACAAAATCATCTCTGGTTGATCGAGGTAGGCCACCGGGGTCACTCGTGCTGACCCGCTCGCTCCTGGTGAGCCTGCCATGGCAGAGGAGAGGGCACGTGCGGTGATGGTTGTCGGGTTCGCCCAGATACCGTACTTGTGGAGCTGGGTTGGGATATGCCATCGCAGCCTCTCCTGCTAACCCGCTTCCTGTGAACCTGCCAAACCAGCCAGAGCAAGGAGAGTCGAGAGCGCAATGAGGGGGACTGGCAGGTGGATGCAGGAGAGGCACGGAGAGGTAGGGATAGGTAGGGAGAGGTAGTGAGAGGTAGGGGGAGGTAGGGGGAGGTAGTGAGAGGTAGGGGGAGGTAGGGGGAGGTAGTGAGAGGTAGGGAGAGGTAGGGAGAACTGGGATGATGCAACGGCAATTCCTGCTGATCCTTTTCTGGCGGACCCCACGAAGGCTGAGAGGAGTTGGGTAAGAACTGGTGTAGCTCAAGCTGACCCAATGTCTTGCGTTCTTGTGTGAGCACAGCTGATGTGTTCATGTGGGAAACGACAGCAACAAGGCTGGTGGAGGGCAGGGGTTGCTAGAGACTTGCCTCCACATGGAGCCCACACCCACATGGAGACAACACCCACATGGAGACCACACCCACATGGAGACAACACCCACATGGAGACCACACCCACATGGAGACCACACCCACATGGAGGCAACACCCACATGGAGACCACACCCACATGGAGACCACACCCACATGGAGACAATGAGAGGGGCCAGCCTTGTGAAGGGGCATGGAGCCTACTCTCGTTCAACTAACAGCCAACCGTAGCTGTTCACTCCACAGAGCGTCTCGGTGAGTCTCCAAATACCCTCCGATGTATCAAGTGGCCCAAAAGACTCGACCGAATTGCTTGACCTCCTGTCAATGCCGTGCGTACGTCCATAAGGATGAAACATGGCTGTGTGTCCGGTGGCGAGACATGGGTCCTGCCTGTCAGCTGCCTGCAACGTTGCTGCATATCCGTGTCTATGCTCTTATACATGCTGCCTCCAACACCACAACACACTCACTTAATCAGCACGGTGTTGAAGCCTGAATTCACCGAGCCTGCAGTGAGGGCAAAGCGAGAGGTGGGATCCACGGAGCTGTAGCTGGCAATGGCATACGTCTTGACGGCACCCATACGCGCGCCGCCAAGGCACCCCCAAGGACCCCCCATGAACCACTTACTTGAGCAGCACGCCGTTAAAGCCCGAGTTCACCGATCCTCCCGTGATGCCGAACCGAGAGGTGGGATCCACGGAGCTGTAGCTCGTAATGGCGTATGTCTTGGCGGCGCCCCCAGGGGCGCCAATGACAGCGTCAGCAGGGACCATGGCGCCGCCCCTTGGACCATGCCACTGACACCCACCCACCCCCCCCTTGCTGCTGAAACCAACACTTACTTGAGCAGCACGCCATTGAAGCCCGAGTTCACGGACCCTCCCGTGATGCTAAACCGAGTGGTGGGATCCACGGAGCTGTAGCTCGTAATGGCGAACGTCCTGGCGGCACCCCCAGGGGCCCCTACGACCGCATCAGCAGGGACCATGGCGCCGCCCCTTGACCATGCCACTGACACCCACCCACCCCCCGCTGCTGCAGTGCCCGCCTTGGCCTGCAGGCAGAAGGACGCGCTGGTGGTGGTGAGGAGCTTCCAGTGCAGCATGAGCCTGGGGGGGACGGGGAGGGCGGGTGCAGGGAGGGGAAGAGGAGGGGAGGATGAGAGACGACGGAGTTTGCAAGAGGCTGCTGCTCCCGTGCCTGGCTTGGCCTGCAGGCAGAAGGCGGCGCTGCTGGTGGTGAGTAGCTTCCAGTGCAGTGCAGCATGAACCTGGGGGGGACAGGGCAGTTGGGCGGGGGCGGTTGAGAGGATGGGCGGATGGGAGATGAAGGCGGGTAAGCTTGACCTTGCAGGGTGTACGACCCGGCGTGGCATGGCTTGCACCTGACTCCCATGCGAGCCACGTGATGGACGGGAGACTCAGGGCATGGATGATGCACGCTGGATTTTCCTGTAGAGCTCATGGAGCAAGCGGGGAAGGAGGACGGGAAAACAGGTGCTTGAATGGGTTGCTTAAAAAAAAAACAGACACGAAGTGGGAGCAGGAGTAAGGGAGAACGAGGGAAGAAGGGAGGGAGGAAGAAGGCTGAGATGGCACAAGGATGCACCAGTCTCTCTCCAAGGTGAATGTCCGCGTTGCCCCTTGTCCCTTTGTCTCTTTCCAGAATAACTCAACCCTTTCCAGGGTAACTCGCCCTTTACCCAGGGTAACTCACCCCTTGCCCAGGGTAACTCACCCCTTGCCCAGGGTAACTCACCCATTGCCCAAGGTAACTCACCCCTTGCCCAAGGTAACTCACCCCTTGCCCAGGGTAACCACGGACGTGTAGCCAGGGAGGCTGGAAGCCGAACAAGACGTTTTGCGGGAGCCAAGGCAGTTAGAGGAGGGCGGGGGGGAGGGGGTGCGGGTGGGTGGAGGAGGGGAGGGGCCGTAGGAGGTATCGCCATCACCACCGCCATCGCCATTGCTGTCACCATCACTGTTACCATCGCCATCGGCGGTGCAGGAGAAATCAACGACTGAGATGCCCCTGCGGCGATCAGAGTGCAGGGAGAGGGGCACAAGGAGAAGGCAGAGCAGTGGAAGCAATTTTGAGCTTCTGTGGCTGTGCAAGACTGTCAAGGGGAGAGGCTGACCAGTGGAAGGGCGGCAGGGCGGAGCGCTGCAAGACGCGCATGAGCGCTGCAAGACGCGCATGAGCGCTGCAAGACGCGCAGTGAGCGCTGCAAGACGCGCAGTGAGCGCTGCAAGACGCGCAGTGAGCGCTGCAAGACGCGCAGTGAGCGCTGCAAGACGCGCAGTGACGCAAAAAAAGGTGGCGGTCATATGAGGGAGGCGAGGCGAGGGAGGCGAGGCTGACCGGTAGAAGGGCGGCAGGGTGGGGTTGGCGGAGGAGTCGGTGGTGAAGGCCCACAGCAGGCGGTTCCTGCCGTAGTAGCTCACTGGCACCGCCCCGTCCGCCCTCTGGCGCGAGAACCTGGCTCGTGGGGAGTGGAGAGGGTAGGGGATGAGTGGAGAGAGGAGTGGATTGAGTAAGAAAGGAGTGGATTGAGTAAGAAAGGAGTGGATTGAGTAAGAAAGGAGTGGATTGAGTAAGAAAGGAGTGGATTGAGTAAGATGGGAGTGGATTGAGTAAGATGGGAGTGGATTGAGTAAGAAAGGAGTGGATTGAGTAAGAAAGGAGTGGATTGAGTAAGAAAGGAGTGGATTGAGTAGGAAAGGAGTGGATTGAGTAGGAAAGGAGTGGATTGAGTAGGAAAGGAGTGGATTGAGTAAGAAAGGAGTGGATTGAGTAAGAAAGGAGTGGATTGAGTAAGAAAGGAGTGGATTGAGTAAGAAAGGAGTGGATTGAGTAAGAAAGGAGTGGATTGAGTAAGAAAGGAGTGGATTGAGTAAGAAAGGAGTGGATTGAGTAGGAAAGGAGTGGATTGAGTAAGAAAGGAGTGGATTGAATAAGAAAGGAGTGGATTGAGTAAGAAAGGAGTGGATTGAGTAAGAAAGGAGTGGATTGAGTAAGAAAGGAGTGGATTGAGTAAGAAAGGAGTGGATTGAGTAAGAAAGGAGTGGATTGAGTAAGAAAGGAGTGGATTGAGTAGGAAAGGAGTGGATTGAGTAAGAAAGGAGTGGATTGAATAAGAAAGGAGTGGATTGAGTAAGAAAGGAGTGGATTGAGTAAGAAAGGAGTGGATTGAGTAAGAAAGGAGTGGATTGAGTAAGAAAGGAGTAGATTGAGTAAGAAAGGAGTGGATTGTGTAAGAAAGGAGTGGATTGAGTAAGAAAGGAGTGGATTGAGTAAGAAAGGAGTGGATTGAGTAAGAAAGGAGTGGATTGAGTAAGAAAGGAGTGGATTGAGTAAGAAAGGAGTGGATTGAGTAGGAAAGGAGTGGATTGAGTAGGAAAGGAGTGGATTGAGTAAGAAAGGAGTGGATTGAGTAAGAAAGGAGTGGATTGAGTAAGAAAGGAGTGGATTGAGTGAAATGAGGGGGGTTGGCAGTGGTGCTGGTGGTTAAGGTTCACACCAGGCGGCCGTATTAGCTCACCAGCACTGCCCCATCGGCTCTCTGGCATGAGAACCTCGGTAGGGGGAGGGGGGATGAGGGGAGTGGGACATTGGACGAGGGTGAGAGAGGGAAGGGGAGTGGAAGAGCGGAGGACGAGAAGGGAGAAGGCGGGCCACTGTGGGCTGGCTGATGGAGAAACCTGGTAACCTGGTAACCAGTAACCAAACCAGCCAGTACCCCCACACGCTCTCTTCATAACAGCGCCACTGAAGGTGGTGTGGAATGCTGTCCGCCCCAGGGTGAATGGTGATAGTCACTTGGTAACCTGGTAACCCCATCACCTGGTAACCCCACCGCCTGGTAACCCCACCGCCTGGTAACCCCACCGCCTGGTAACCTCATTACCCGGTAACCCCCCCTACCACCTGGTAACCCAACACTCACTTCATGACAGCGCCACTAAAGGTCGTGCGGAAGGCTGTCCGGCCCAGGGTAAATAGGCGAGACACCTGGTAACCCCACCACCCAGTACCCCCACCACTCACTTCATAACAGCGCCAATGAAAGGCGTGCGGAAGGCTGTTTGCCCCAGGGTAAATGGGCGAGACACCTGTTAACCTGGTAACCTTAACACTCGCTGCAGAAGGCCGTTCGCCCCGGGGTGAACGGACGAGACACCTGTAACCTGGTAACCCCACCGCTCACTTCATAACGGCACCATTGAAGGTCGTGCGGAATGCCGTCCGCCCCAGGGTGAACGACGCCGGCTGCGCCCCTGCCGCCCCTGGCCCGCTGATGGTGAATGCTGCCACGGTACGCCGCCCAAAGAGATTCCCGAAGATGGCGTCGCTGGGGAAGGGCTGCCCCTTGCGCGCCCACGCCAGCATGAGCCACCCGCCGGCGCCCGCGCCCGTGCTGCTGCGCTCTTCCACGGCCAGCTTGAGGGCGTCGCGTGACGTGATGGTCCAATGCAGCATGTAGCTGTGGGTGTGGGAGGGAAGGAGTGGGGAACGAGGGGATCAAGAAATAAGGGATACGAGGGGGCCTCGTCTGCTCAATACCGCCCCGGGTGAGTCCTTACGTGCTGGTCAAGTAAGGGCTTGAGGGGATGTGGTCATGAGCGCTTGACGCGAACAAGAGAGTTCCGCGCCTCCACTGCGAGCTTGAGCTGACGAGGGGAACAAGTCGCGTGACGTGGCGGTCCTACGCAGCATGTAGCTGTGGGTTAGGGAAGAGAGGGTGGAAGATTGCGGGATGAATGAAGCGAGTGAGCTGTCAGGGGATGAGCGATTCGAGGAATCGGGGATACAAGAGAGCTCCTCTGCCCGATGCGATCTTGGGGGCGTCTCGTGGCGTGGTGGCCCAATGCAGCACGTAGCTGGGGGTGCCGCGCGGAATGCTGATAAACGGGGGAGTAGGGGAGGGGGAGGGTGGGGTGGGAGGGGGACGTGGGAGAAGGATGGTTGGAAAGAGGAAGGCGGGAAACAGGGACGAAGTGAGCAGGGAAGCCTGATAGGAACCTGGGACGAGGGGGTACAGTGCAGCATGAAGAAGGGGGGTGGAAGGCGGCGGAACGAGTCGACGGGGAGGATTGGTAGGCGCAGGTGGCATAGAGTGTGTCTCTGGACACAGAGGCCTGAAGTCGCATGTGGATGGGCATACGCGAGTGCTGCCACCGGACATGCGACATGAGTGTGCGACGTGCGACATGCGTTTTGCGACGCGCGACATGCGTTTTGCGACGAGCGACATGCGTTTTGCGACGTGCGACGTGCGACATGCGTTTTGTGACGTGCGACATGCGTTTACCGAATGGTCTACGAGCATGATACTGCACGCGATGAAGGCTTCACGTGGCCACTGGCACCCTCGATCCCCCCCTTCGCGAAGCGGAAACCGCAAGGCGGACGAGGAAGGCGAAAGGGAAACGGAGGCGGGACGACAACCTTCCGAGCCCCCCTCTCCCTCTCACGACCTGTACTCGTTACAATCCGTACCCGTTACCCGACAGGTCGACCATGTTGGAGTAGCCCGCCATCGTCGTCGTCTGGCACGTCGGCGTTCGCCGCAACACTCGCCGCGACTCAGAGGTCCCCCGCCCCGCCCCAGAGGGGTTCCAGCTGTCATCCCACGGAGACACGCTTTCGTTGAACAGCGCGTCCCACGGCGGCGGGGCTTTGATTGGCGAGTGTAAGTCCGACGCGGTGGTTCGTACGGCTAATACGGAAGCGGCAAGTGTCGCAGTCAGCAGGTACAGGGCTGTGCTGACGAGGAAAGAGTGCGTTGCTGATATGGCGAACGCGAGGCGCCGGCGGGGACGAGTAAGGGAGAAACGTCGGCGGCGAGGGGCGAAGGAAACAGCGTAACTAGCAGACTCGGAAAGGACTGTCCCCATTACCCGTTGCGAGGAAGAAACGTCGTACGTTAGCACGACTCGGGGAGAGCGGCGGCAACGTCGTAATGCTAGCATGACTCTACAGGATCGGATTGCCTCCCTTTGGTGAGTGCTACTTTGTGACCCTGGTGGTCTCGGAAGTAACGTTCTGCTAAGTCCGCCAAAGCGAGACAAATCCTTGTACCCGGTAGTATGAAAGGTCTGCGCCGTGAAGAGTGGATGAAGGTGGTAAAACACAAAGGCGCCCGGGAGGAGTAATATCGGCAAAACACAAAGCGGCAAGCAAAGCAGCATCGCAGAACCTGGTTGCTGGCTTGTGTTCCAGGGCCGAGGTGCACGGCCGAGGAGGTGGGAGAGGAGATCATGTACGTTGCTGGGAGGACGCTAGACTTCTGCCGCGCTCCGCCGTTTTCAACCGTTCTGCAATGTTCTGTCTTAATTTTCGGGGCTTTGGGTAGGAGTGAAATGGTAAGGGCGTGTAACATTTTTCAAAATCACTGAAAGTCCGGACCCACGTAGGACGTACGTCCGGACACTTGCGAATCTGTCGACGTCGTACAGTCGCTTGACGACGCAGACGACGTCGCATGGATAAAATGCGACGCAAATGACGTCGTTCGTTTCTTCAAGAGATATCTGGCGAGAATAAACGGATCTGGTAACCACAAAACTGTCCGTACGGCTGGCTGTCCAGACGAAACAAATAAAAATGTTACACGCCCTAAGTGGTGGTGCATGATGGCGCTTGTAGGAAGAATGGGAACTCGAGTCGCCAATTTCTGCAACCAGGCACATTGTCGCACCGTGAGGGCAGGGAAGCCGAAGCGCTCTCGACATCGTCTCTTGAAGTCAAGAGCGATATCCGCCGTCCGATTTCCGCCGACAAGCTAAAGAGTCCGATTTCCGTAACGGGCACATCACATATTTTGGACGAGGTGACCAGCCACAATATACACTAAGAATTTCCAGGACATTGGTAATTTTCGCTACGAAGCTACGGAGCTAGACGAAACTCCAACACATAAATGTTACAGAGCATAACAGCCACAACAATTTACACCACGCCCAGAAGCATATCGTGGTTAGCACACGTCATTTCTCCAGGACCAATGGCGCGCGAGTCAAGTGATAGGCACAAGCATTGTGTGTGTCAGCTCGAGTCACGTGGTAGTGCTCCATGGAGCGATGCGTTACGGTTCACTGCGTGCAATGAATTACAATTCCTTATTGTCGACTTAGCTGGAATATTCGGATTGTTGGCGACGTCGCACATACTTTCACGAACTGTGGAACGAAGCCATGCGAAAGGACGGTTCGAACCGTGGGTGGTCCCTCACAAATTGTCAGGCAGACACTGGATTAGATTGGATTTTGATGCCGTGCTTAGGATTGTCACCTGAAGCGGATCGATCGGCTGGAAGATCGGTTTTGCGCTTGGGGTGTAGCTTTGTAGCGTCGTGATCAACAAGGTAACTAGGTTTTGCGAATGTTCGCGAATGTACAGTAAGAATGTGCCCACGAACCTGTCACCTACGGGAGCCCTGATCGATACAGCGAAGTAAAAATATCGAGCGTGAGATTGGGTGGCGGGGTGTGGAATTTCGCGCCACAAGTGACAGTCAATTTCGAATGTTTAGGCTCGTCATCGCATACCCTAGGTTTCCCAGTGCGATTCTGCGCACGACAACATTGCTGTTGTCGCAGGCTAGGTTACCACAACCCCGGAAACTGCCATACCGAACCTGTCACCTGTATATCGGTGCGCCGTAGCTGTGCAGTCATGGGCACCGATCTCTACCGAGCTTGGGCTCGAAATGACAATCAGTGCGGATCGGCCAATCTTCGGCCGATCCGCTTCAGGTGACGCGTCCTTAGAACTGAAACCAAGTTCGACTCTGGCTTGCGATGCAACAAACTGCTCCTGTGGGAACGAGAAGTGAAACTCAAGAGAGTCGAAAGTGTAGTCTGTATCCACAGAAAGTGTTTCCCCCACCTCGCCTCCATATTTCCAGCCTGATCTCAGGTAATGCGGGGGCAACTATTAGGGTTGTGACATAATTTTGTCCCGGTCCTTGTGCAACACCGCCTCAGACGCTAGCAGGCCAAGGATCTCCCAGGACTTGCGGCGTGTACGGGACAGACGATGAGCGAGTGTTTCTAGTAGTACGCGTTAGCGTGGGCCTCGATTCGTGGGCCTAAATATGCTGCAATGGCTGTCGCATCGCTCGCCCCTGCGACGACTCCGCCTACGTCATTCACTTCACAGGTGACGTTTACGTCTCATTGTGCAGCTCAGCCTCGGGACTCCCGTGCCGGGAGGTCCGGCCGAGCCATTAGCCTCGTCGCGCGTAGTAGCAGTGAATGGCGATTCGGCAGTAGTAGGCTCTACGTAGGCCGATTCGAACCTAGATATTCGCGGGGAGCAGCTGTTAAGGCGTATTCAGCGGGCTTGTTACACCGTACGTGTCACGGTGGTGATGAATCGAGAAAGTCGCGCCTATTCAGTCCCGAGCCGGCGGTGCAGGCGCAGCAGATCCGACAACGACGGCGAGTAACGAGCCGGGCTATATCGGACCCTTTCGCGTTCTCGTTTGACGATGGAGAGGAGAATGAGGAAGGGGATGCGGCGGAGAGCAACAGCTACGGCGACAACGAGCGAGGTAAGCGGCAAACCGGACAAACCTGCATCCGCTGTATTGAGAATTCGCAAAAGTTACTGTACTAGAGAATCCAATCCAGCATGCATGTCCCTTCTTCCTGTCCCGACACCCACACCCACACCCACACCCACACCCACACCAATACGCACAATCCAAGGCCCTCATGCATCACAACGGCTACCCCCCTGCTCCACCCGCTCCTTTGGTTGCGCTCTGCTGCTCTCCCTGTTACGCCCAGCCCAACATCTTTCTCTTTCCCTAGTTCCCCCCCCCCTTTGTTTCCCTATTTTCCTAAAAATTTTCTCCTTTCTCTCGATTCTCCTGTTTACCCCCTTCCCCCTCGCCATTTCCCCTCATGCAGACCCCAGGCGGGCACCCTAGCAGCTCTCCACTGGCCCACCCTCTGCGCCTCCACCCTCTCCTCCTTCTGTCGCCGCCTGCTTCTCTCAGTGCATGCCCTCTGGTCTTCCTCTGATCCCGCTATCTCTCCCCATGCAGACCCAGAGGAGGAGACCCTAGCAGCGCTCCACTGGCCCGCCCTCTGCGCCACCCTCGCCTCCTTCGCCTCCACCTCATACGCCCGCCGCCTCCTGCTCTCCCTGCGCCCCCCCAAAGCACCCGCCCAGGCCCACCCCTCACTCGCCCTCCCCTCTCACACTTCCACCCACTCAGAAAAAACTCACCTAGAAAGAACCCTTTCAGAAGAAATTCCGTTGTGGGGATATGCAGAGCTACAGGAGCAATGCGAGGGGCTGCTGGAGGAAACAGCAGCGGCGATCGAGCTGGAGGAGAGGGCAGGAGGCGCTGTGGACCTCAGTGGGGTGCATGCCTCGTTAGTGGGCGATGCGTTAAGAGTGCTGGGGCGCGGGATGAGCGTGAGCGGGCGGCAGGCTGCTGCTGTGGCTTCGATGATGGTGGCGGCCAATGGCATGCGGCGCGGGGTCATGGATGCTGTTGCTGACGTGGAGCGAGGAGGGCAGGGCGGTGGAAGGGAAGGGGGTGGAAGGGAGGGGGGCGGAACTAGCCGGCTGCATGTGCTTCTGGATTTGGTGAGTGCCATTAGAGCAAGGATGATGCGTGGCTGTGATGATGGCAGGCATAGGGTTGAACGTGGCTGTGATGATGGCAGGCATAGGGTTGAACGTGGCTGTGATGATGGCAGGCATAGGGTTGAACGTGGCTGTGATGATGGCAGGCATAGGGTTGAACGTGGCTGTGATGATGGCAGGCATAGGGTTGAACGTGGCTGCAACTGGGTGGAGTGGTGGAGACTGGGTCACTGGGATGACCGGATGGAGCACGGATATCGGGCGTGCGTGCTGTATCTCTTTCTCTTCCCCTTTCACTTCCCCCTCTTCCCCCCATGCCCCCTCCTGCTGCATCCAAGCCCATGGCCAACTAGCAAAAGTTCACCTCTCAAGCATCCCCTTCCCCTCACCCCACCGACCCCCCGTCACCTCAAGCCCTTGGCCAACTCCCAGATTTTCCGGTTTTGATTCACTTCAGACATTTCCTTCCCCTTCCCCCCCAACCTCCCTTCAGCTCAAGCCCATGGCCACCAGACCAGACTTGGTTCAGCGCATCTGGTCCGCCGTGGACGAGGAGGGGCAGGTTCGGGACACAGCGAGCGCGGAGGTTCGGCAGGCCCGAGCCGCGTGCCAGCTGGCCGCCGCCCGGGCGAGGGAGGCGGTGGCGCGGGCGGCGAGGGGGAGGGGGGCGGGCGGCGGGGTGGTGGAGGAGGTGGTGGAGGTGGAGGGGCGGTTTTGCATGGTGGTGAGCCGACAGCTGATGAGTGCCGGGGAGGGGAGCTCCTCTGGTCTCGTCATGAAATCGTGGGTGTCTGTCTGCTGTCGTGTTTCTCAGGGGTACCTCTTGATGTCGCTCACAATGTTGTGGGCCCGGAGGCGGCGGAGGTGCGGGGGGCTGCTCTGTGTGGTGCAGGGGGCTGCTCTGTGAGGTGCAGGGGGCTGCTCTGTGAGGTGCAGGGGGCTGCTCTGTGTGGTGCAGGGGGCTGCTCTGTGAGGTGCAGGGGGCTGCTCTGTGTGGTGCAGGGGGCTGCTCTGTGTGGTGCAGGGGGCTGCTCTGTGTGGTGCAGGGGGCTTCTGTGTGTGGTGCAGGGGGCTGCTCTGTGTGGTGCAGGGGGCTGCTCTGTGTGGTGCAGGGGGCTGCTCTGTGTGGTGCAGGGGGCTGCTCTGTGTGGTGGTGAAACCCTTTCGACAACTTTCTTCTGAGAATCACTTTGAAGGATTCTCAAAAGTGGCACTTGAGTTGGTTCACAATGCTTTGGGGAGGTGGAGTGGGGGGGAGTGCTGCATGGATGCTGGTGTGAAGGCAGCATATGATGGGCTGCACCGGCGCCCGCACACCACCATGCAGAACTATGCACCACCATGCAGAACTATGCACCACCATGCAGAACCATGCAGAACCAAGCAGAACCATGCAGAACCATGCAGAAACAAGCAGAACCATGCAGAACCAAGCAGAACCATGCAGAACCAAGCAGAACCAAGCAGAACCATGCAGAACCAAGCAGAACCATGCAGAACCATGCAGAACCATGCAGAACCAAGCAGAACCATGCAGAACCAAGCAGAACCATGCAGAACCAAGCAGAACCAAGCAGAACCATGCAGAACCAAGCAGAACCATGCAGAACCATGCAGAACCATGCAGAACCATGCAGAACCATGCAGGCAGCTGATGATGAGTTGCATGCACCGTCGTGTTTTTAACCACGCCGGTGCTGAGCTGAGCCGAGTGTTTTGAGTCAACTCAAATCACACCGGCACCTGCACTGCACACCACCACAAAGAATCACGCAAGTAGCTGATGGTGTGTGTGAGTAGGGGAGGGGAGCGCTTCCAGCCTTGTCATCAAAACGTGGGCTTGTGAAGAATGGAATGCTTCTGCATGCATACTCGTCATTAAATCCTGAGCCTGTGGGCCATGCATTGTGCATTTGGGTGTGTGTGTGTGTGTGTTTGTGTGTGGGTGTGTGTGTGAGTATGGGTGTAGGTGTGGGTGTGGGTGTGGGTGTGGGTGTGGGTGTGGGTGTGGAGATCGGAAAGAATGGAATGCTTCTGCATGTTTGCATGCTGATTAGGCAGGTGATGATGAGTGGAAGGGAGGCTATTGAATCAAGGGAGGGGATGGGCTTTCTGTGGCCCTGTAGGAATCCCATGAGCTGCTTTTTCCCCAACCCCACCCGAACTCACCTTCTCTTGCTCAAACGGTTTTTCGCATTTCACCGACAAGTTTATGCAACGAGCAATCAAACTTTGCACACTTTCCCTCCCTCCTCAGATAGTCTTTGGTTATTTCCCTCCCTCCCTCATTGTAGATCCTGGGCAAGCTTTGGTCTGTCCGGCATGGCTAGCAGTGTTAGCAGTGCTGGCAGTGCTGGCAGTGCTGGCAGTGCCGGTGTACACAGGGTTGCGAGACGTCTCAAACCTTGTTCACTTGCACCTTCTGCCCCTTACCACGCTCTGTTTCCCCCTCACCTCCCTCACCTCCCTCACCTCCCTCACCTCCCTCACCTCCTTCACCTCCTCCAGCTCATCGCCGTCCCTGGCTGTGATAGAGCCCACGTCAGCGGTGCAGCTGAACAACCGTTACAGCGAGGCCAGTGGCGAGGCATGGCGGGCGGAGCAGGCAGTAAGGGGTTCACATGCCTCTCTCCTCTTCCTTCCCCTGTTTTCCCAGCTCTTCACCGTCCCTGGCAGTGATAGAGCCCACGTCAGCAGTGCAGCTGAACAACCGGTACAGCGAGGCCAGTGCGGAGGCGTGGCGGGCGGAGCAGGCAGTGCTGGCACAGTTGTCACGAGACATGGGGGAGGCTGTGGGGGACGTGCAAGGGGTGCTGGAGGCGATGGTTCGACTCGACGTGGTAAGTGCTGCTCCGTGCTGCTCTCATACACACAAGCATTTACATGCACACAACATACACACAGACAGGCGTACACTCAGCAGACAGTGGTGCGGTGGGGGATGTGCAAGAAGTGCCGGAGGCAGTGGTTCGACTCGACGTCGTGAGCTGAGCCCGTCTCACTCACACGCACGCACGCACTGAATCTCCCCTCCGCACACATGCACATACATGGCAGGTAGCACACATGCACATACATGGCAGGTAGCACGCACGTAGGTGGTATACCATGCCACGCTATAACAGCTGGTTATCTGCCTTTTGAGTTCAGTCACCACTCTTCCGTGCTTCTCTCTTGTACTCCTCTCTTTTTTCCCTCCCCTACCTGCTTCTCCTCCCACCATCCCTGTCATCAGATCATTGCGAGAGCACGCTACAGCAGCTGGCTGGGTGCCACTCGCCCGTCCTTCACCCCTCTTGCTGAGGGTTTAGGGTTTACGGACATCACCACCCCTTCCTCTCCTGATGTCACGTCAGTTGAACCTGCCACCTCAGCAACTGCCACATCATTAGACCCTTCCACGTCAGCTGCACCAGCCACGTCAGCAGTACCCTCTGCTCCGCTCGTGGACACCCGTTCCCTCCGCCACCCACTCCTTCTCCAGCAGTACCGCGCTGCCCAGAAACGAGCCAATCAGAGGCTGCAGAAGGCAAAGCGGGCGGCAAATAGACTACGCACGCGACCCGGCATAACAGCCACTGCAGTAGCAGCAGCGGCAGCAGGAGCGGGAGTGAGTGGTGGAGTGGGGGAGGATTCCCCTGGGGGGTGGGTGACACAGCTACAAGCAGCAGAGAGGGAAGTGACGGAGGCGGAGGAGGAGGTGGGGCGAGCAGAGGCGGCAGTGCCTGTGCCCATAGACGTGACAGTAAGGAGGGGGTGCCGTGTGGTGACTATAACGGGGCCCAACACCGGAGGCAAGACGGCTGCCATCAAGGCAGTGGGGCTCGCAGCTCTCATGGCCCGATGTGGTGAGTGGTTTGGGGGGGTGGAGAGATGTGGTGAGTGCTTTGGGGGGGTGGAGAGGTGTGATGAGTGCTTTGGAGGGATGGAGACATGTACTTTGGGTGTTAGTGTTAGCCCTCAATCTCAACTTTTGTACTTGTACTTTTTATGTCCTAGCATAGTGTAGTTAGCACTTTGTTTTGGTTGGGTGTACACTCACATCCCAACCAAACCCAAATGTGATCACTGCAATCTCCAACCCACCAATTCGAGACTCCAGGCGATCCCCTTGGGATTGCCCTCGATTCCCTCCCCATCCATTCCTTGCTCATTTCCGATGTACTTAAAGAGCCTTGAGCTCATTACTAAAGTATCAACTCAAGCTCAGTTCGTTCATTGGGGGTGGAAAGATGTGGTGAGTGCTTTGGGGGGGTGATTTGGCAGGGAGGAGAAGGTGTGACTGGCAAGTTGCGGTGGGGAAAGGGGAAAGGGATGCGGTGAGGAGGGGGTGCCGTGCAGGTTGGTGAGTGTGACACCAGGAGGGTGGGGCCCAACACCAGGAGGGTGGGGCCCAACACCAGGAGGGTGGGGCCCAACACCAAGAGGGTGGGGCCCAACACCGGCGGCAAGACTGCTGCCGTCAAGGCAGTGGGACTCGTTTCTCTCATGGTGCAGTGCGGTGCGGTGCGGTGCGTGTGGGGAGGAGGGATGGGTTGGAGTGCTGTGGGGGGTTGGAGTGCTGTGGGGGGTTGGTGGAGAGGATGCGGTGAGTGTGGGAGTGTGGCGCATCTCTGTCTTGCTGTGTCAACTCACCCGCCCACTCTGTCCATCTCTGCTGTCATCACAGCAGTGGGGCTCATAGCTCTCTCACATGGCTCCATGTGAGTGGGCAGTGAGAGCCACGTGGTGAGTGGGCAGTGAGAGCCACGTGGTGAGTGGGCAGTGAGAGCCACGTGGTGAGTGGGCAGTGAGAGCCACGTGGTGAGTGGGCAGTGAGAGCCACGTGGTGAGTGGGCAGTGAGAGCCACGTGGTGAGTGGGCAGTGAGAGCCACGTGGTGAGTGGGCAGTGAGAGCCACGTGGTGAGTGGGCAGTGAGAGCCACGTGGTGAGTGGGCAGTGAGAGCCACGTGGTGAGTGGGCAGTGAGAGCCACGTGGTGAGTGGGCAGTGAGAGCCACGTGGTGAGTGGGCAGTGAGAGCCACGTGGTGAGTGGGCAGTGAGAGCCACGTGGTGAGTGGGCAGTGAGAGCCACGTGGTGAGTGGGCAGTGAGAGCCACGTGGTGAGTGGGCAGTGAGAGCCACGTGGTGAGTGGGCAGTGAGAGCCACGTGGTGAGTGGGCAGTGAGAGCCACGTGGTGAGTGGGCAGTGAGAGCCACGTGGTGAGTGGGCAGTGAGAGCCACGTGGTGAGTGGGCAGTGAGAGCCACGTGGTGAGTGGGCAGTGAGAGCCACGTGGTGAGTGGGCAGTGAGAGCCACGTGGTGAGTGGGCAGTGAGAGCCACGTGGTGAGTGGGCAGTGAGAGCCACGTGGTGAGTGGGCAGTGAGAGCCACGTGGTGAGTGGGCAGTGAGAGCCACGTGGTGAGTGGGCAGTGAGAGCCACGTGGTGAGTGGGCAGTGAGAGCCACGTGGTGAGTGGGCAGTGAGAGCCACGTGGTGAGTGGGCAGTGAGAGCCACGTGGTGAGTGGGCAGTGAGAGCCACGTGGTGAGTGGGCAGTGAGAGCCACGTGGTGAGTGGGCAATGAGAGCCACGTGGTGAGTGGGCAGTGAGAGCCACGTGGTGAGTGGGCAGTGAGAGCCACGTGGTGAGTGGGCAGTGAGAGCCACGTGGTGAGTGGGCAGTGAGAGCCACGTGGTGAGTGGGCAATGAGAGCCACGTGGTGAGTGGGCAATGAGAGCCACGTGGTGACTGGGCAATGAGAGCCACGTGGTGAGTGGGCAGTGAGAGCCACGTGGTGAGTGGGCAGTGAGAGCCACGTGGTGAGTGGGCAGTGAGAGCCACGTGGTGAGTGGGCAGTGAGAGCCACGTGGTGAGTGGGCAGTGAGAGCCACGTGGTGAGTGGGCAGTGAGAGCCACGTGGTGAGTGGGCAGTGAGAGCCACGTGGTGAGTGGGCAGTGAGAGCCACGTGGTGAGTGGGCAGTGAGAGCCACGTGGTGAGTGGGCAGTGAGAGCCACGTGGTGAGTGGGCAATGAGAGCCACGTGGTGAGTGGGCAGTGAGAGCCACGTGGTGAGTGGGCAGTGAGAGCCACGTGGTGAGTGGGCAGTGAGAGCCACGTGGTGAGTGGGCAGTGAGAGCCACGTGGTGAGTGGGCAATGAGAGCCACGTGGTGAGTGGGCAATGAGAGCCACGTGGTGACTGGGCAATGAGAGCCACGTGGTGAGTGGGCAGTGAGAGCCACGTGGTGAGTGGGCAGTGAGAGCCACGTGGTGAGTGGGCAGTGAGAGCCACGTGGTGAGTGGGCAGTGAGAGCCACGTGGTGAGTGGGCAGTGAGAGCCACGTGGTGAGTGGGCAGTGAGAGCCACGTGGTGAGTGGGCAGTGAGAGCCACGTGGTGAGTGGGCAGTGAGAGCCACGTGGTGAGTGGACAGTGAGAGCCACGTGGTGAGTGGGCAGTGAGAGCCACGTGGTGAGTGGGCAGTGAGAGCCACGTGGTGAGTGGGCAGTGAGAGCCACGTGGTGAGTGGGCAGTGAGAGCCACGTGGTGAGTGGGCAGTGAGAGCCACGTGGTGAGTGGGCAGTGAGAGCCACGTGGTGAGTGGGCAGTGAGAGCCACGTGGTGAGTGGGCAGTGAGAGCCACGTGGTGAGTGGGCGCCCACTCACTCACCCACTCTTGCACCCACTGCTCCATCCACTCCCACTCCACCACTTCTGTGCTTTCTGCCTGCTCCAACCCCTGTCGGTGCCGCCCCTCCCCAACCCCTGTCGGTGCCGCCCCTCCCCAACCCCTGTCGCTGTCGGTGCCGCCCCTCCCCAACCCCTGTCGGTGCCGCCCCTCCCCAGGCATCTACGTGTTGGCAGCATCACCCGCCCGCCTGCCCCTCTTTGACCTCGTGCTGGCCGACATCGGCGATGCCCAGTCGCTCACACAGTCACTCTCCACCTTCTCCTCGCACCTCGTCCGCATCAGAAGTATCCTGGAAGCTGCCACCCCACGCTCCCTCGTGCTCTTGGACGAGGTGATTTCTCTTTTCTCTGCTCTCCCATCCCTTTCATTCCTTTCATCCCTTTCCCCACGCCCTCTCATCCCTTCAGATCAGACTGGGAAAAAGGTTTAAAAGTTTCCTCTGCTCTCTGATTCCTTTCAGGCTGAGTGGAAAAAAATAAACAACCAAGCAAAGCATAATCAGCTTTGTAATCCAGAAAACGGCTCTTGCGTTTTGATGAAAATGTTGCTCTCTGATTCCTTTCAGGCTGAGTGGAAAAAAATAAACAACCAAGCAAAGCATAATCAGCTTTGTAATCCAGAAAACAGCTCTTGCGTTTTGATGAAAATGTTGCTCTCTGATTCCTTTCAGGCTGAGTGGAAAAAAATAAACAACCAAGCAAAGCATAATCAGCTTTGTAATCCAGAAAACGGCTCTTGCGTTTTGATGAAAATGTTGCTGGCCACAGCGTGAGCGTGTGCCACAGCAGTGAGCGTGTGCCCTCCCGGAGTGCATCTCCCCCCTCGTGCAACATGCCACGCCATGCTCCCTTGTACTGTTAGGCCAAATATATCTGCTCTGACATGCTCAGCTCATTCCCTCCTTGCTGCCTTTTGTCCATTCCGCACTTTCTCCCTCCTCCTTCCCACCTAATCAAAGGGACTGCTCTGGCCACAGCGGTGCTCAACCAAATCAAGCCTTTCCCCTCCATCCCTTTCCCCTCCATCCCTTTCCCCTCCATCCCTTTCCCCTCCATCCCTTTCCCCTCCATCCCTTTCCCCTCCATCCCTTTCCCCTCCATCCCTTTCCCCTCCATCCCTTTCCCCTCCATCCCTTTCCCCTCCATCCCTTTCCCCTCCATCCCTTTCCCCTCCATCCCTTTCCCCTCCATCCCTTTCCCCTCCATCCCTTTCCCCTCCATCCCTTTCCCCTCCATCCCTTTCCCCTCCATCCCTTTCCCCTCCATCCCTTTCCCCTCCATCCCTTTCCCCTCCATCCCTTTCCCCTCCATCCTGACTCCCCTGTCAACGCCCTTCCAGTTAGGAGCGGGCACGGACCCAATAGAAGGGGCCGCTTTGGCCACAGCAGTGCTAGAGCATCTAGCAGGGGGATCAGAAGAAGGTTCAGGCGAATCTTCAGGTATTTCGTCAGGTGGTGCTCTGCTGACCATGGCTACAACGCATCACGGGCAACTCAAGACGCTCAAATACAGGTCAGGGCAAATGCACAACGAGCTATCAAAGGGTTGTGCTTGAGTGTATGTTTTTTTTTGGGCTATTGTTTCAGATTGCCCATGTTTTCTCATAATCCACAAGCTTTCTTGCAAAAAAATATAATTATTCTAAAGAATAACAATCTTGTTTTTTAGCAACCTGAATCTGCATCCCACCTGCTTTGTTTTCTAGAGTCTATACTCTTATCCCCATTGCATGGATTCGGTTCACCTGATTTTTCCAGGAAGATCAAAGCTGCCTTCGCTTATGCTTTCCCCTCCGCTTCCCCTCCCCTTCCATTCCTTTCCCCTTCCCCTTCCCCTTCCCCTTCCCCCTCCCCTTCCTCTCCACCTTCCCTTGACCTCTTCCACTGCAACACGCCTCGCTCCCATGAACTGCCTCCTGTGGGCCAGGGTGGGGTGCCAGCCGTTATCACGCCATTCTCTCCGGTGCCCCCAGCCGCCCTCCTCTCTCTTGTACCAACTTCCCTCACACGGACGCTCGTTTTGAGACTGAATCAGTTGAGTTAGATGACGAGCGCTTGGCTCCCACACACCGCCCCGCCCCCTGTGGGCCACACACCGCCCCCTGTGGGCCACACACCGCCCCCTGTGGGCCATCCCACCTTCCCCTTCCCCTTCCTTTCCCCTTCCCCTCCATTGACAGGGACGCACGCTTTGAGAATGCCTCGGTGGAGTTTGATGATGAGCGCCTCGCTCCCACGTACCGCCTCCTGTGGGGCATCCCGGGGCGATCCAACGCGCTTAACATCGCGCAGAGGCTCGGGCTGCCCGGAGAAATAATTTCAGCTGCCAGGGAGCTGCAAGGCAGTGCAAAGATGCAAGTGAATGAGGCGAGTGCATGCAACTGTGCCTTTTTTTTCCGCTAATATTCCAACAAGGCCCCAATTGAAATCACTTCTAAGAATTATCAGAAGTGCGTGTAGCTGAGAGCCCTCCGAAATGATAAGGCTTCAAGTCTCAGAGATATTTTGTGGCACAGAAAAACAGTTTCGACCTGGATCCAACAGCGCTTCAAGTCTCACAGATATTCAGTTCGGTGCAACACTTTTCCCGCCATTTTTTCATTTCTTTGTTTTGTTGCTAAACTGTGATATTTACTTGGCAGGTAATAACAGCAATGGAAGAAGCTAGAAGGGCGTATGAGACTGATGTGGAAGCCACTGCCTCTATTCTAAGGTGGGTGGGTGGGTAGGTGGGTGGTTGGAGGAATGGGTGTGGGCGTGGATGGAGGCGCGTGGTTTGTTGGGATCCATAGATGCATGCAGGCATGCATGTGGGTGCATGATCGCTAGAAGGGTGTATGAGGTGGATGTGCCGGCATCTGCTTCCATTCTAAGGTGGGTTAAGGGAGCACATGGATGGGGGTGGGAGAGGGGGACTGCTACATGCATGCTTCTGGATGGGGGGGTGATATTATTGCTCTTTTTATTTTTGTCCCCCTCCCTATCCGACAGGCAAGCAGAGTCTCTTTATTCTGACCTAACTTCAGCTGCACGGCGCCTGCAGCTGCACCAGCAGGCACTGCAGCTGGACGGGCAGCAAAAAGTTCAAGCCGCAGTTGTTGACGGGCAGAAGGCGATTCGGGCAGCTGCCCGGGCAGCCGTGAGAAAAGCGAGGGAGGCAGAAGAGGCAGCTCTGTTTGAAGTGGGTGCGGCAAGGAGGAGGGGGGGGAGGGAGAAGGAGGGAGGAGCAGCTGGGTGGGGCATGGTGGAGGGGGCGACAGGAAGCAGACAGCCCCAAGGTATGTGTGACGGGAGGGCGTTTGAGGCGCTTCAGACAATGAGTGAGGGAGCCATGAGCGGGAGGTGAGTTGGGAATCGGCGGGGGGGAGGGGCGGAGGAGTTTCTGGGTGCGGCATGGAGGAAGGGGGGGCGTGTAGAAGCAGTTTTCCCCAAGGTATCCGTCTGAGTGTGTAGGGTGCTGTTAGATGCGAGGGGGGGGGGGGGGGGGGGGGGGGGGGGAGGGGTGCTGTTAAATGCGAGGGGCGGGGAAAAAGGAGGGAATGCGCCTCGTGGAGAATTGAGGACAGGTCGCCTACAGAACCGCCCTCACAGGTGTACTGTATGGTAGTTTTCTGTCCTCACAGGTGTACTGTATGGTAGTTTTCTGTCCTTTTTTTTCTGGTGTGGTGTCTCTAGGACAGAGTGGAAAGGGGAGAAGGGGAAGAATCCTTTGGGTAGACCTTAGAGGATAGCCCTTTCAGAAGTGGTAGTCTTTCAGAAGTGGTAGTCTTTCTTTCCCCCTCCCTCCCTCCCTCCCTCCCTCCCTCCCTCCCTCCCTCCCTCCCTCCCTCCCTCCCTCCCTCCCTCCCTCCCTCCCTCCCTCCCCCCCTCCCCCCCCTCCCTCCCCCCCCTCCCCCCCCTCCCCCCCCTCCCTCCCTCCCTCCCTCCCTCCCTCCCTCCCCCCCCCCCCCCCCCTCCCCCCCCCCCCCCCCTCCCTCCCCCCCCCCCCCCTCCCTCCCTCCCTCCCTCCCTCCCTCCCTCCCTCCCTCCCTCCCTCCCTCCCTCCCTCCCTCCCTCCCTCCCTCCCTCCCTCCCTCCCTCCCTCCCTCACTCGCTCACTCTCTCGCCTGCTCGCTCACTTACTGACTCACTCACCCTCTCCATTTCTCGGATTTCCTTATTCACACACAGTCATTCCCTCTCTCGTACCCCAAACCCATCCCTCCCTACCTTTCCATGTCATCCAGCTCTATCTCAAATCAACACAATCCTCAATCCCCCTCATCTTGTCCGAAATGCATTGTTGTTTTCGATCAGAACACCTTTTCCCCCAACCCCCTTGTCCAAACAAAGGATATTTCTATTCCCAAACTCCTCACTTTCTCCCGAATACTTGCAGCCAGCAGCGGGCATTTTCCCACAAGAATGCGCATGCAGTCGAACCAGGCGGAACAAGACAAGGGGCCTGCAGTCGGTGCGACTGTCTCAGTGCCTCGATTGGGACTGAAAGGGAAAGTGCTCCAAGTGAATGCAGAGAAAGGGGAGGTGTTGCTACAGTGCGGACGCATGCAAATGACAGTCTTACTGGATGATATATAGCTTTTTTGTTGATGTACAGTAATTCGTTGGATGGAAGCTCCCCCGCAGGATAAGCTCCAGGGCTTCTCATCAGCCCCAGCAGCACAAAATCATCGTGAAACAACCCTACTGGGAAGTTAAGCACGTACCGTATGGCCCCGGATACAAGCGCAGGTGCGCAATATTAAAATGTGCTTTTTAGGGAGTAATAGCGCAAGCTCTCGTAAGAAAGCAAAAAATGAAGTTTGATTTACAGCATGCCAAAATGAAGGTCTCAGAGCGGAATACACCCTAATATTGTTCACGTGGGTTCGCGCATGGAAAACCGTGTGAAAATGGTCGCGATTCAGTTCAGTCCGGAACCATCGAACCTGCCATCGCTGACTCACAAATTGCCTTGTGGCCCAAGAGTCATGCGCTAGCTCAGAATGACACAAATACTGAAAATCGTGACATTCAGTATATTTTATCCTGATATCTGAGGGCCTGTCCCATGCTAGCGCTGCGGATTTCTTGCCACGCAGGGTCCTCTGCGGGTTTAGACGGGGGTTTCCGGTCATTCATTAACGAGGACCCCGAGCCGCCAATCGGACGAAGTCCCCTCCGTTGCCCATTTCTGCACCGTCTTTCATTCTTTCTTCATTATTTATACCTCTCCCGCCTCGCTGCGGAAGCCATGGCGGAATTCACAGACACCCACTTGCTTCATTTTTCATAGACCCGTTTGGCGAGTGACTGAAGATGGCTTGTATAGCCGTATCCCTCTTGAACCTCTTAAGCCATCACAGCCTCCTACGCCACTTGCACCCCCTACTCCTCCTGCTCCTCCGATGCCTCCCACTCCTCCTGCTCCTCCGAATCCGCATGTTCCCTCATCCACGAGCGATCGATCTGTCCTCACGGTCCTGCTGCTATCGGCGTTCTATGAGTTTTTGACGGAACCAGAAGCTAACAAGCCCCCAGATGAGTGGATCCCAGATCTGGCGCCCAAGAAGAGTGCCCGTGTGTCGAGTCAGCCGTGTGCGCGAGAATGATGTGCCCCCGATGACGAGCATCGCGCCGAGGACGCCGACGATGAAGGCTGATGTGGGTACCGCGGATGGTGTTGGCGCCGAGGACGACGACGATGCCGAGTACTAGTCGCGCAATGGCTTACTTGAGAAGCTGTCAATTTTGTTGTTCCCTCCAACTAGCCGAAAGCGTACCCACCCCTCTTTTGAGAATTGTGATGCCCGCCCCCCCTCTCCCAGGCACAAGCCATCACAGCATAAGCGTCAAGCTTATACCGCCCAAGAAAAGCTACGGTGGTTCGTGCGCCTAGAGGTTGCGGCGACGGTGAGCGAGGTGATGCGGGAGTCTAGCATCCACCAAAAGTGTTTGACTGAGTAGAAGAGAGGCGCCCAGAGTATCAAAGACTCTCACGGCGCACAAAAACGACAGCACGGGCGCGATAGAGCTTCGTGGTATCATCCGATGGAGCTCCAGGTTGACGCGTAGCTCCTCAAATGGTGGCACAAGGGTATTGACATGTCTGTCGGTCATCTGTCTCATGAGTTCATGAAGGTGCTCTTCCCGCAAGTGAAGTGGAATCAAAGCAAACGATGGTCGGGCCACTTCCAGAAACAGCAGAATTTGAGCGTGCACTCCAAACTGGGCGTCGGCTACTGACGAAGGGTTCAAAGTGCGAGTTTCTCTTTTAGACAATGTAGAATTTCAGGGGCACGTCATTTCAGAAACTGGGGTTATATATATAAAAAAAAAAAATGCATATCGTCAAAGCGTGGCACTCCCCGACAAACATCACGGAGCTGCAAGGTTTTTTTGGGGTTTGTTAACCTTGTCCGCTGGTTCGTCCCCGACATGGTACGGCTAACTGCCCCACTGACGGATTTGTTACGAAAGGGGGTCGCTTTTACGTGGGGGGAGAAAGAGCATGCTGCCTTCTCTGCTCTGAAAACTGTTATCGGTTCACCGCCCGTACAGCGCATCGCCGACCCACACCGTCCATTCGAAGTGGTTACCGACGCTAGCGATATCGCCATCGGAGCTGTACTGCTATAGGACTTCGACAACGACTTACATCCTATCGCATACGAGTTACGAAGTCTGCACCCACCCGAGAAGAATTACCCGATACTCAACCGCGAAATGCACGCGATCATGCTCGCGTTCGAAGTGTGGCGCTGTTACTTGCCCTGTGCCAATGTGATAGTACGAACAGACCACAAATCACTACAGTACCTCCGCGCAGAGCCCTACCTCAACCTACGACAGGTCCGCTAGCTCGACTTCCTTGAGTCCAACTTTCATTACACGGTCATCTATAAGGGCGGGCCCAACGCGTACAATTACAGTTTGTTATAGTTCACATGTCGAGGTTTCATACAATATCAAACGGTGTACAGCGGTTTTCACCGTTTTGCACCGTGACGCAAGATGATAAACCGCACAGAATGAACTGTAAACCAGCTGAAAACGTACGCGCTAGACCCGCCCTAAAAAGAGTGGCCTCGAACATCGCCGATGCACTGACCCGGCCGACTGCCCAGATACACGCAATACCAGCCCGCTACTCACAGGACTATTTACCCACAATTACCAGGCAGACCCATTCTTCACACGCGGAAATTTGCAGCAGTTTGCAGTAGCAAGACGGGTTAATTACATAAAAGCCGATACTGGTCGCATCTGGGTACCGGGTTACACTTTACTGCGGGAGTTACTGTTATAGGAGGCATATGACAGAGTTACCTCAGGATATTTCGGGGTTGAGAAAACATGGCAGTAGCTGCAGCGACATGTGGCATCATGTCCCACCTGCCGGCAGGAAAGTGGCATCCGATACCACCCCCAGAGCATGCTTGGCAACAGGTAACAATGGACTTCGTCATTGGGTTACCGGCTCGGACGAGTGGGAACGATGCGATCCTTGTCGTGGAGGATCGGCTAACAAAAAATGGCCCATTTTGCAGCCTGCAAGAAGTCAATCTCAGTCGAAGAAACGGCCCAGCTGTTCATCGCCACCATCGTTCAAGTGCACGCAATACAAGCGGTGTTCATCAGTGACCGCAATACAAAATTCACCAGAAACTTCTGGAGGAACCTATGGCAACAGTTCGGCACGCGACTACAGTTCAGTTCATCCTACCACCCCAAAACCGACGGTCAAATGGAGCGGACCAACCAGACCATGCAACAGTTGATTCGAGCCACATGTGACGATCCAACAACTTGAGAGCAGCAATTGCCACTCATCATTCGCGTACAACAATTACACGTCAGCCATGATGCAACGGTAACCCTTCTACCTCAACAACGGATAGAACCATACAGTTCCTATGACTCTGAACCCCGACAACCCAGTTCCACGCGCGCAACAGTTCGCTGGAGTTTTACCAGCCGCCCGGACTCGAGCAGCAGACGCCACAAAGAAATTATGTAACATCGCCAAGCGCAACGCCGATCGCCAACGCCGACCCGTCACTTACTAGCTGACGACCTCGTATTACTCGACACTCAGAACCTCCGGCTGCCCGTCACCCCGAAGTTACGTCCACGATTTTGCGGCCTATTTCGCATAAGCCACATGATTACCCCTGTCACCGCCCACCTCCTCCTACTCGCTGACTAGTACGTGAGCCCCTATTCCACGTCTGCCTCCTCTGCCCTTATGTCATGTGAGCTGCTACGCAGCCGCCCCTCTAGCATGACATGATTACCAATAGAACCCGTCATCTCGCCCGACAAAATACTGAGCCTCTGAGTTCGTGACCCACGTGGAAAGATTGCGCACCCACAAAAGATAACTGGGTGCCCTTGGATAAAATCGAGAACCACCTCTTCCTCATCGAGTATCTGCGCAGCTGCAACTTCTGCGATATACATGCACTCTAGGGTGGGGGGGGTGGGGGGGGCTCCTTGGGGAGGGGGGTAGTGTAAGGAAAATTCCTTTTCCTTACTTCGCGCCCCTGCTTACCGCGTACATGACTATTCCCGCCAGTAGTGCGCTTTGGTCCTCCGCCTCCACAATTCCTAACCTTACTACACTTTGCTCGTTACCGTTACCACGCTAGTTCACTTTTGTTATGAGTTGAAAAGGAGAGTTGCGCTGAAAAAAAGAATATCGAATCTGTGACTCAATAAACTGAGAATACAACGAAGGCACGTGCTTATATAGCGAATATCCTAGCTAGGAGGAAACCTCAGGAAAACGAGGTTGGGTGAAGGTATGGCAAATGGAAAGCCGAAGGCGACGTGAGGCAGCCCCGGACTTGTGAATGTCGACCGATCGCGCGAGACTCGAAAAGGTTGGGGTTGTACGCGTAGCAGTCAACCCCGTTAAGGAAAAGTCATTTTCCTTACACCTATATAATATTCGCTCATTTCTTCGCTAGATGTACTGTTTTGCTTCAATGATTCATTCACTCAATTTCAATGATAACAAACGTCAAACCCCTACCGTAAGAGGCTTTTTGTTTTTTTTTTAAATGAAAGATACACCAAAAAAATGCACAATATATCGGCATCGTAATTGTAGCTGGTGGGTCTCTAGGCATGTGCCTGCCGTACCCACCCTGGCCTTCTAAGGGGGACGGAAAGCCGTCTTTTGGTTCGACCACAAGGACATGAAACCCTTTGTCCACGTGGCCGGCTTTAACTGACGTGTCCCGAATTCTATCCAGGATTCAGGGCTCATCCTCATCCAGACTGGCACGAGCAGCACCCAACCTCCGTTTCACCACCTTGGCATGCGTGTAGATCCTAACATGCAGCTAAAAATTTGCTGTGATTTCTCCGCAAGACCCTTCTCGCCCGAAATTTGCTCCGCTCGAAAACCGCGTCACACCTCTCCACCCAGACCTTGTGTAATGCGATAGTTGTGATGGTAGCTTCGAGGAAACCCGAGCCTGACCCTCCCCGTTGGAACATGAGGTCTCCCAGCGTCCCGACCTTCGTTCCCGAATTGAGCATGCGAATTGCCTTCAGAAGAGCTTGAACCACCGGCTGGATGCGCGGGCATTGAAAAAGCGCGTGCTCCAGATTCTCCCTCTCGCCACAGTGCGTGCAGGCAACCACAACACCAAGAAACTGGAGCCTCTCCCCCACTTGCAGGTTACGACTGTGGATTTGAAGCGACACATCCCACGCCCGGTTCGGAATGGCCTCCGAGTCACGCACATTGATGGCCTTTCGCAAGTTGATCGGTCTCCCCAACGACTCCTCCCACGCAGATTGTTGCTTCGGTTTTCCTTCGTGCCTCGAGAAACACTCCTGGAGCTACCTGAGCTTCGCCGGTTTGTCCTTATCCCAGAGTGGTGAGCGGAGCAGCCTCGCTTTGGGGTTCCCCGCGGGTCCCAAAAACTGCCCCTCTCGGACCACTGCAGGAGCCACGTAATGAAGCTGGAACGTGCAGAAGCGCTCCTCCACGCCCCCCAGCACCCCATAGACGCAGCTGAATGCTCGGCAGACAAGGGAATTCCCTTCTACGCTGAGCATTTTCCACAAGCCATTGCGGGTCCCCGCCCTCAGCTCGAAGCCAAACACTTCCGCAATTTTTTCCGCCACGACTGGTGATAGTAGCAGCTGCTTCCATTCATCGGGGGCCGCGTCAAAGATCCACGAACGCTCTTTCCATCTCTTTCAGCGCCTTGGAGCCATCCGGGCTGACGACAACGAGATCATGCATGGTTGACCACCTAAGCCTCGCTGCCTTCCCGC